GTTTTCAGCTGATTGTCGTAAAACCAGACCAAACCGATTACTTACCAGTTAGACTACTCAGCCAATCTCAAACCGTTGTAGAACCAAAGTAATTCCCTGATTACTTTCGACACGCAATTGAAACCACTCTAATCAGTTGTAGTTGTTTTTGTTGTTGCTAACCGGTTGTAATTTTAGTTGCTGTTCTAGCTACACTTGTTTGTTATTGTTGTTGCCGTTGTTATTATTCCGTTGCTAACCATTTTCATTTACCACTGATGTACCACTGATGATGACCGTACGGTCGAAAATGTTTTTGTTTATAAAATTTTTAGTAACTTTTAGCCTTTTATAAACAATTTTCAGTTTTAGTTGTAATTGTTTTAGCTGTTTTTGTTGTTGGTGGTGGTGTAGTTGATGTAGCTGTAAATGTAGTTTTAGTTCTAGTTTTACTTGTACTAAATACTAGTTACCAATGTCGTCCTAGCCTCTTTTTTTTGAACATTCAGATAACACGAGCATATCACTACTTGAACGTGTATGAACCAGTTTTCTCAAAGCTCTTCTAGAACGTCATTTGTACAATTTCAGGAGTTTCTGGGCCGGTTTTCATCGATGAAAATGGTGACAGAGCACTAAGCCTCCAAATGAAGAACTTCCATAATGGCAAGATGCAGCGTGTAGCGAACTACTTCCGACATTCAGAGAAACTCGAGTTTACCAACAGCAGCATGTATTGGCCGGGAGGGACTGTAAACGCTCCAAAGGGAAGACCTGACTGTGGCTTCGATAATGAATTCTGCGTTTCTCCAGGTGTGAAGATAATTCTGTCATTTTGTTCAAAGGTCGTTAAATTATTTCAATCTTTAATTTCCACTTTGTTTTGAGTGGGTTGAGTTTTCAAGACCTGAAATCCTAAGTGATGTATAGATTCTCTCCGTTTGGGATATGGTAAAAAAAAATCAATTTCTTATGCGGCATTATACATTTAAATTTTTTGAAATCAAGAATCCTAAACTGTGACCAGAAAACTGTTTTGGAAGAAACTGGTGATACAGTTGCCCTCAGTTAAACTACTACTGGCAACAATGAAGGGCACAGCGAGGTCAATATTTATCGATATTCCTGATAATAAATATAGTTGACTGCCAAAACCAACATATGTCTTCCCAGCGTTGGTGGACGGTTAGTTCAATTATACCACCCACCCAGAGGGCAAATATGAACACTGTTGTTGGCGTCGTGGGTGAATTCCAGGGGTATGAAATGAAAGCAAGAATTGTCAAGATTGTTAGAAACCCGATCTTGCAAGAGTGGAACTAGGTCAACTAGGCTAGTCATTTGTCCTTAACGTTGTTTCACCGATTAAAAACTGGCCGTCCTTCAAAATGTAATAGCTATCAAGCACCGCTTTGTATTTAACAATTAGGTTACGAGCTAGAGATTTCTATCGCGCGATAGTTGATGATGGCATAGCCCGAGTCAACTATCACGCATAGAAATTGAAAGCGATTCATCTAATTGTTTTAGTACAAATCTACTAGTCGTTCAAAACTTTATCTAAATCCTCTTCACGGACACGTCGAAAACCGAAAAAAAGCGGCCGCCATTTTGTTAACAAGCGTACACTACTAGGCTGCTCACTACCTACAACAGGATAGATAGTAAGTAGCTTAGCCAATCAGAGAACGACATTCGTGATAGAACGCTAGTAGATTTATAATAATTGGCGAAAGAAGTTAACCAAGAGAACACAGAACATCATATTTTTCCTTTTGGTCAATGAACATTCTTTAAACTAATCTACATTCATCTAGGAATATCTTCGTCCCATGTAAATGATCAATTTAATGCACATGTGGTGTAGATGTTTCTGTTAGACTAACTTAAAGGTGTATCTGTCTTATCTCATCAGTGGTTTGGAAACTTGCTGTCTACGTACTCTCGGCATTTATTGCTCTAATAATTTGTATGGCAGCCCTTCTTATATGTTATAGGTAAGCATTGAATCGTATCAAACGACCATTTTCGTATTCTCGGTATTGGACTGGAACTAGCTTGCAACTGAGGCTAATGCGGGTTGTTTTTGTAGATAGGAAATGACATAAATATTCCCCCACACGAGCCTCCGTTGCAAGCTAGTTCCAGACCAGTACCGATAAAAACAAATATGGCCTATTGTTCATTTACACGTTCACTCGCTACTCGCTCATTTAGTAAACCGATGAATCGATCATTTTATCAGGGAAAAACACGAGTCTTTCGCGGTTCTCAGCAAATAATGCAGTTTAAAGAAAAGCGGATCTCAATTCCGGTTTGTATGGGGATGGAAACCATAATCATTACGATATAAGTATTTATACCCGTAAATGGCAAAATGTTGTGGTTGCTGCAACCCTAAGGATACTTCTTTCTCGTTGCAATATTTCACTTGCAAACTGTAAAAATTTAAGCCCAATTTTCTTTTTTTTGCTTGTTTACGTAATTTGCTGCTTTACGTTTTGTAGGAGGAAGGCATTCGAAGTATCACTTCAGAGCCAACAATGGAAAGTCTCTTCAGCTGATGTGAAATTTACAAGAAAACCGCCGGATGGGAGAAGTATAGTAAGAGACAACTGTTAGCTATTTGATTTTTTTTATCAAAATTTCAGACCCTTTCACAGAACAGTAGCCACTCCTATAATTTATCTAAGTATTAGGCATGCAGTGTTAAATTGGCATACAAGGTCACTTTTCAATCCCCTGTTGTTTTTTTTTAATAATGATGAGGGGATAACAGAGAAATAGCAGTTGATAGAACAGTGATTTTTTTCAAGCCATGATAACTAACTTATTTTCATGTGTTGTGGCAGATCTCAATGTTTAGTGGAAGTTTTGGTGAGGTCAGTTTGTCTTCGAAGATATTTGATGACGATGAATTGCGAGGACAAGTATTTACTAACGTGGCAATTTACAAGGTTTGTATTGGTCTCCTAGCATAGTTTAAAACTATGTTTGAAGCGACTGAGACCCCAAAACAACATTCTCTTGATACGATTTAATCAAAATCGTAGAGGTAAATTATCCCCTTAATAACTTTTCAAGTTACTGGATAACCCCTGCATAACCTACTTATGTCCAATGTTAGTATATACAAGTAGCACACAAGTGAATAATGCTTTTCACGCGTTCTGATTGGTTAACTCGGAGGTGATTACCAAAGTACACTTCTCCTCTGAGCAGCCGAAGAGAAACAAAATGCATGGCTTCCCGTTTCTCTTCGGTTAACGACGAGGAAAGTTTTTGGCCTTTAGTTATTCGGATTGTGTGACATATACATTTATTTACTATTTTTTTTCATCCAACTCTCTTTCCCTTCTGTTTTGTTTAACATCGACGTGAGTATACGCCTGGTCGGTTCCCAATCAGAATTTCGCGCTTTTTCCAGTCCGTGGTCGTGGTATTTTTTCCAAACATTTTCAGTCATGTAATAAATCTCTTATTAACTAAGCTTGCTGGGGACGGTACTGGGAGAATATCGGCCCTCACTCTTTTCTGTATGGACCTGGCTGCAACCGGCCAGTGCTGTCAAGACTTCGGGCCGATATTCTCCCAGTACGGCACTCGCTCTTGGCTATTAGGATATATATTGCATACAAATGAAGTAAAATCCCCCTACTGAGAGAGTTGAATAACGTAAAAGGAATGATGTAATACACTTATTGATCAACAGTCCACCGTGGTAGCGGTTAAGAAGCTGAGGAAAACACACGCCCATCTGTCCAGAACAATTCTTATGGAACTAAAAGAGGTACTCAGTTTAACCTACAAATGCCAGCTTAATCTTGGGTGTCAAGTAGCACGAGTCCAGAACAATTCTGTGGTTATACGAAATTACTACCCATGGTGTCATCAGTGCATGCAATACATGTGTATACATTGGTGGTTATAATATCTCTACAGGGACATCATGGCAATCTCCTATTACGAAGTAAAGAAACTGACTTAGACTTTCGTACGCAAAGTCATTAATTACAGTGAGTCAGATGACCTATCTGTCTCTCTTGATGCTTTCGGTGAAAGTAACTTAGCACCTATCAACCTTGCCTTTGATTTTGAAAATGGTCTGACTGTAGCTCTTAAAAGTAGCTTACTGGATCAACTATTGCATGGAGTTTTTTCCGACTCAACCATTCAAGTTTTCTTGCAGTCAGTCAACAATTTTACAACATTTGCATTCATTGATATAGGTGTACGATCTCCAACACCCGAACATCAATCGATTTATTGGTGCGTCCGTGGATTCGCCAAACATATGGATTCTAACACAATACTGCAACAAGGGAAGTTTACAGGTAATGTCGCTGTATACATACTGATTACGCTGAGTATTCATTGTAGTTTTAATCTTCAATGCAGAGTTAATAGGGGGGAATGGTTATGAAACCCGAAAAATTTCTTTGTTGTATGTTTTTGTTCTCTTTTTTGGCCGTGAGCGTGCATAAAACACAATCGTTGTGTACTCCCGCCGTACTGAGGAACTAATCAATAGAAACGTTTTGGTTACGTAATTCATGCATAGTGTATGAGCGATAAACAAAAGATTGTGCACGGTCGTGGACCTTCCTACATAAATCTTGACATCTTTGTTTGCTCCTTTGATGTTCGCCGAGCTTCATAACCATTTCCCTCTAAAAACTATGTTCAATACAACTACTAGAAAAAAGGAGTGTACTGATCGCAAAAGGAAGCTTTTTTGTGAGTTCACTTCCTATTTCAACGTTGGTCCTCTGCCAGTTTTACTCACACAGAGGTGGCAAGGTTCCAACGTTGATAGGGAAGAGTCTCAACTATATCGTGCTGTCAATGACCATTAACTCATTCATTCGGCTTTTCCTTTCAGGATGTTTTGAACAACGAAAAATTGAAGTTGGACTGGATGTTTCAAATGTCCTTTGCTTCCGATGTTGCTAGAGTAAGAACATGCAAATAGCTTGTGCTTGAATTCATAAGGAGTAAAACAAACTCTACTAGGTTTTTTCGAGTTACAGCATTTGATTTCCATAAAATAATACTTTTAAAAAGGACATCGTAGATGTACCGGTGAACAGGACGACTTATTATCAGCTGGCAGACATCTTCAGATTACACTTGAGGTGTAATCTTTGTTCCTGATGACATAACTTAGCGTGCGGCCAACGCATAACTTAGCGTGACAGTGACCAACTGGAAAGCTCATTGGCTACTTTGGTCACTGTACACAATTAAATATTGTTTCTTCTAGTTAATTTCTATCTGTATTTATTTTTCCTAGATCATTGTAAACCATCTTACGTTAAGCTGTTTTTCTGTAAATAGAGTCCAATAATAAAAACTGAACTGAAACATAAGCAGCATAATATCTTAAACACTTCTACGTTTTTTTGGCTATATGAAAATAGTAAATAAGTAAAGTTGAAAGGGTGCACCTTCTTTTGCAAACGCCCGTTCATTTTAGTGGATATGCCGGCATTTCTGTCTTTTGAATCTTCTTGTACTTATATAATGTCTTGTTGGACTCTTTTAACAGGGGATGTGCTTTTTGCACAAAAGCTCGATTGGTTGCCATGGTGATCTTCGATCGTCTAAATGTGTCATAGATAGCCGATGGGTTTGTAAAATAACTGACTTCGGGCTAGAAAAGTTTAAAGGAGGACAGAAAGCCAACTCGTACATTGGCCTCGATGCAGAATATCATCGTAAGTATTCACCAGCTTTATCTCATCTTCAACCAAATTATGGAGTGTATAACGCTAAACTCATACCACCACCCTAATCAAAACTTACGCCAAAATCCTGAAACCATGAGAATCGCGGCAGATTCGAGCGTCCTAACATCCACAAGCTACAATGGGCGGCAAAAGTGTAAAATACCACTCTCAAACGTCTTGGTAACATTTGCTTCCCCCAAACAATGCTGGTTTTCTCTATCTCTGAGACTACCAGGACCACAGCACCTGCACAATATTGAATTAGGTGACCGGGAGCATCAGTCGATTATAGCCAGTTGCATTTAAAAGAGAATGGGTCAAGTGTCCTTTAATTAAAATGGTCTGAGCTACTTTTGTCACTAATTGTATTCGCTTTTCATTAAACTTCATCGACTTAATGATAATAATGATAATGATAATGATAATGATAATGATAATAATAATAATAATTTTTATCTATTCGGAGCCATTCCTATGCTCGCAGCGCTTTACCAAGACTTACGCAACCATGCGAATACTGATTTAACTCAGTTTCTCTTGCGATGTTGGCGAGTCAGCAAATTGTCCGCCCACTTACCTTAAAACGTTTCTTTGTTACGTTGCAGGGTTATTATGGCGAGCCCCGGAGCACTTGGATGAAAAAAAGAGTTCGTCTAGGTCACAAATGGGAGACGTGTACAGTTATGGCATTATTTTACAAGAAATTCTTCTCAGAGGTCTTCCATATTGTAGGAATGACTTTATGGAAGCAAAAAGTGCGTTCTTTTTTATTTTTACGTTTCAATGTCAGATAATTTTGAGGGATGTTTGTGACGTACATGGACCCGAGGTGATCGTCCTGATGACGGTAGTTCTGAAAAGAACTGTTTTTGATGACCGACGCTTTGATAAACTGAGTGCAAGTCATCTTCAGAGTCAAGTGAATAGTGTGGAAGTTAGTTATAACACTTGCGTTATAACCATGTAAATATTGTAACTTTTTATTTTGGAATTCAATGGAGTGAGTGAGCAAGCATGTGCTGAAGAAGTCGAGTGAATAAACATTTGGCAGTTTTTCAACAGAGATGAATTCTGATATCGAGGCGTAAACGCTACAATGTAGCGTTGTAGTTGTCTAATGCCGAAAAACAAAGGTAGTCCTCCAAACCGGTATGTCTTAAATTAACTTAACAGAAGTGAACGAATGACACAACACATACATGTGACACTCAGATCACAATAAAATGGAATATCACAGCATGTCTGACTGTATCCAGCAATATAAATAACATTAACTGTGAGTTATATCGGTAAACATTCATGCAATAACAAGACATCATTATTGTTCTGTACATTTACAGCAATTGTCAACAAAGTAAGAAAATCAGAAACTCCTCCATTCCGTCCACTGATTCCAAGTACCTTTGGTGATGGTCTTTATATAAAAATGATGAATTCTTGTTGGGATGAAGATCCCAGCGTAAGACCAAGGTTCAGTGATATTCTCCTGACAATTAAGAGGATTAACAATGGAAAGTAAGTACATTCTGTGAAATATAGAAACCTTCACTGAATATTAGAATAGTCAGCTCTCAAAGACATAAAACCATAAACACGTCACGTTACGCTAAATCTTCAACGATATAAACGTGTTCTTCTGGAAGGGAGATCGAGTGCCATTTCGAGCTGGAACTCATTTTGGAGAATTGATCGAGTCAGTGGTAGGTCGTGGTACTTGTTGCTAAGCATTGTAACAAATAGCCCTCGCCATGAAATGGCGCAAGAAAATTTTTGATTGGAAAAGACGTTTAAAAGCAAGTTCCTGGTTCGGCGCATTCGCAAACCTCTATACCTTTTAACCTTCACCAGTTTGTATTTCGTTCGAACCAAAATCTCAAAGCTAGATAACTTGGCTAAACTTGCAAAATTCATAATTCCAATAATTTTGAAAGGTTTTCTATCTAGCATAAACTTAAATTGCACTGTCGTTTTTGTTAACAGGGACATCAACATAATGGATAATATGATTTTGTTGATGGAAAAATACACAGATCATCTAGAGGAAGTGGTGCGAGAAAGGACTGAACAACTGGAAGAAGAAAAACAGAAGACGGACGCTTTGTTGTACAGAATGTTACCTAAGTAAGGAAGCTACAGTATAAACAAAGTAAAAAGAGGCGCTATCCATATAGGCCTAACGTTATGGGGTTGACGGTGGTTGTGGTGGTAACATAAACTGAGAAATGAATAGCAAAGATATCTTTTGCGAGAGTAAACAAAACCGTGGTCCCTTGAAGAGGAATTGTTTTCCTTTTTTCCCCTCTCTTCCGAAGGGTACTTTTACAAATGTTTATTTTGCTTGAAATCATGAACCGTCCGATCCATTTTATACGATGATATGATGATATATTTTAACTGAATGATTTGCTAAAGATCGTAAAATTCCTCAGTATATAAAGCTTTGCCCGTAAAAGATAAACAATTGTTTTAAGTTTTTCTCACTTTCATACGAAACATATAATTAATGAAAAATATCTGTTATGTAAGGGAAAAACGACTTAACGAGCGTTATATTATAAACGGGAAAAAAATTTAAAGAAAATTAAGTTGTTTGACTAATTTTTCACTCTATGTAGGATTGTAGCAGAGCAACTGAAACGCGGTGAGCCTGTCACAGCAGAGTCCTTTGATCAGGTCACCATATTCTTCAGTGACATCGTGGGTTTCACTTCATTGGCTGCCATAAGCAAACCACTACAGGTAATTATTAATATGATAGGTCGAGCACTCTATTTGTTTTCATATGGAAATCAACTAATATTTCATTAGGGTTGTGGAAAGGGTTGTCTTTTTAAGTTGTTTCTTATCAGTTGATTTTTTCATTAAATTGTTGGTAGGGAGTTTTAATTACGTCACCAATTAGAGTCCATTACGCTATAATAACTGACACATTAATAAAATTTTCATTCATTCGCTCACATTTTTGCTCAAATCTGAAACTTGAATCACTCTCTGTTTACGACTGCTGACCACTGCTGCAGATATCTGAAAAAAAATCTCAGGACTTGGTTGTTTTTTGGTAGAATGATTTTCTCGTCTCAGCAACACGTTAGCTGAGATGAATATTCTCATTGCTTACAGATTGTAAACCTGCTGAATGACCTTTACACCTGTTTTGATAACATTATTGACTGTCATGATGTTTATAAGGTAAGGTAACGTCACAGAAGGCACTTTTGGTTATTACTGACAAGTACGTTGTTGGTGGTGGTGGTGTTTTTGTTGTTGTCATTGCTATCCCTGCTGTTCTTGCAGTTGCTGTTGTTGTTGTGTTTGCTATTCCTGCTTGTTGCTGTTGTCACCGTTGTTTTCTGTTTCCATTTTTTTGATTAGGGGTTGGTAACTTCAATCCTGGTCAAAAGTCTTGGGACACTTTGCACTTTTGCTGCTTTCAGTCCACCTCCCCCTACTCATCCCAACTCAATGTTGATGTTGATTCATGCAAAGTAAAACCACTATTCAAACGTTGCTTTTGGGGGGAAGGGGGCTCGTAAAATTGAATAATGACTTCCCAATTCAAAATAATGTGTCACCAACTGGCACTTTGTCAAGTGTCCCAAGGACTTTTGGCCAGGATTGTAGGTGTGTCTGCTGTTAGTATGTCTGTTCTTGAAGAATTTAAACCATTTTCTTTAGGTTGAAACAATTGGAGATTCTTACATGGTGGTATCTGGACTACCAAACCGAAATGGTATCAATCATGCAGGGGAGATTGCAAACATGTCTTTGGATCTGCTGAGTGACATGTGCTGCTTTAAAATTAAACATCTGCCAGAGAAACAGCTACAGTTAAGGATTGGTATCCATTCCGGTCTGTACTTTGACTTCTTTAACTTTTTTGTTATGAAGTTATGTTTCCATTTCGTTTTTCAGTAGAGCTAACTGCTTAATGAAGATCAACGTGACGTAGGGTACATCTTGAAACTTTTTATCTAATTTTTCAGTTCGTTTTTCCACGTTCTTCTTTCCAAATCCTAACCATCCATATTTTTTAGTTTGTCTTATTATTATCTTTAGGAATAAAAATTTGAGAAATAACAGAACGTTTCGATATGTTCTCAAAATCACTTTTATGGAAAAAAAAACAAACAAAATATGTTATGTTAATGTATACCGAGAAAAGAAATATAACATATTTTAAACCATAGCATATTCTATTTCATCACTCAAAATGATATGAAGATAATATTGAAACGCTCTGTGATTTGCCAATTTTTATGTTTAAATGTTTATCTAAAACTACATTATTACCTTTGTAGTGTTTTTGACATTTGACATTTTTGACGTTGACATTTCTGTCGATTTGAAGGCAGCGTAGCATAACTTCTTTAATAACTATCCTTTGTGAGACGTTTAAAACTACAATGGCTAAAGAGTTTCTTGTTTGTCCACAGTCATTTTATTTTGTTTGTGTCCAAGCTCGACAATGTCAAAAGACTAACTGAGCAAGCAAGTATTTAAGCTGGAATTACATTGTAAACAGCCATGTTGGCTTATTATCGGTTATTATCCAATCCTCAGGTTCATGTGTAGCTGGTGTTGTTGGTCTTAAAATGCCACGATATTGCCTGTTTGGTGATACCGTCAATACGGCCTCGCGAATGGAGTCTAGTGGACTTGGTAAGTTATATACCTTGCAGATAGTTAATAAAAAGCTCATTGCTCTCAAAGTGATACAAAATTAAGGTGAATAATGGACAGGCCGATTCATCACCAGTGTACAACAGAATGCGTTCCTGCGTTCCCTTGAGCTAATCTAGATAAGGATCCATGATCCAAGATCACTTGGATCACGGTGCATCAAAGAAAGCGATGAATCCGCACCTAGGGTGGAGTCATCAATTCCTCTGATGCAACATGATCCGAGTGATCCTGGATCATTGATCCTTATTAGGATCATACCAAAAGAACGCACACCTACCTGATTGATACGGCAGGGTAAAAAACAAGTCCAGGGAACTGTTAAAGAGGTACCCGAGTAAACTTTTGCCGTATTAGAATTGCATTTTCTTAGATAATTCACAACTTTTAGAAAGCACTCAAATAAAATTCCTTCTTTCAGCTCTCAGGATTCATGTGAGTTCTCAATGCAAGTCTTTATTGGATGATATTGGCGGTTACTACACAGAGGAGAGAGGCTGGACTTCAATGAAGGTAACTGGACCTTTCATAAACCAGCATTACTTGTCGAGTAACCATGAAACGATCACAATAGATGATTAATTAGAAAAAGAATACTTTCTCATTCTGTGTTTATTTGTTTTTTCTCGCTCCTTACTGAATTCCTTTGCTTCCAGCTACAACGGAAAGGAGACCGTTCTAATTGCACTTACTGTTGTTGCAGTTTATGATGCTGCTGAATGTCAAATTTAATTTCAGAGTGTGTGAGACAACACACTACGAATGAAGTGTGTTGGGAAAGATGGTAGACACACAAGTGCTTTCTTACTTTCTTTTTTCTTTTTCACTCAGGGAAAGGGGACAATGCTGACGTATTTCCTGAATGGGCGTGAGGGTTTTAAGAAACCGTTACCAGATCTCAGTAAAGCAGCTTCTCTGGAAGAACATACATTCAAGTGAACCAAAGGCAAGAAAGCTAAGAATTTAAACCAAAAGGAGGAAGATCTGAAAAGACAAAACAAAGAATAGTGCACCCGGTGGCGACACGAATAAATAACTGCAACATCAGTATAAGAAAAATAATAACATTGTGGTCCGTCTTCATGAAATGCTAGTCGTAACATGACTTGGACACAATGAATATATCAATATCTTCATTGTAATGTAATGAAATCAAACGTGTAATGTCCTCAATTTAATCGGTTATTTCCGAGTTACTTTTTGCTTCTGTTTTAAAACGATTTTTCGTGCAAAACCTTTTACACGTGAAAATGAGTTTGATTTGCACGAAAATGAACTTGTAGGCGGAACACCTTTTCATACCAATGGTTTCCCACGAAGACTCGTTTTAAAGCAGAGGCACAGGGTAACTCGCATATGGCCTATTGATAAAACTTGATGGCAAAAGTAATAGACTTACCTTCATTATATTTCTAAATATTATGTATCGATAACACTATTTTTTTACAAAAATAGTAAAACTTAATTTTTTTTAATTAAAAGAAACTATGAAATATACATTTTTACTCTCGTATAGGATATTGTTTTCAGGTGATCTCAGAAACAACTTAACATTATAGTCATACGTAACTACTATATTTACATTAAAATAAGAACGCAGGCGAAAATTGTACCGTTTATAGTTCAGGTTAATTTTGCCCTTTAAAAGATACCAAAATAAATATACTATAATACACATACACTTGTTTTCATTGGACGAACCCCGCTGGGCGAGCACGATTTGTAGGACCAGCGTAAAGCGCGATGGAGCGTGAAACGTAAGGGACCTTGTAACGAGCTCAAAGCAACGGCACGCGGGGAATGACGAAAATGAGAAAAAAAAGAATATTATTCCCCTGTATCTATCTGACAATTTAATGATGGTTTCCATAGGATCGTTGCACCGCAAAAAACGTGGAGCGATCCTTACGGCGTCGCTCGCTTACCAGCTTACAGAGACCGCTACGATTGCTACAGAATAACAAACTCACTAGAGGGCCTGGTATATTGATGGTTTGCACCGAATCCCAAGGGATTCAAATGACAAGAGCCTGGCAGCCATGTTGGATGACAACAAGGGGGATTCATGCTGACGTCATTGTTTACATTTTTACTCATTTGAATACGGCTTTGCGTACAGAAGGAAACATGTTAGATATGAATTGACTCCAGGCAGCTAAAGAGCTAGTGAGACTTAATACATGGTGCAATTTTTAGCTCTTTGGGTGGAATATTCAAGGAGATATTGTCTTTCAAAAACTGCAAAATTTCTGGGTGGCAAAAGCGCTACTAAGCTCACACATTCTTTGTAAAATTTTGAGTTTTTAAATCCGTGTTACACAAAAAGCTCATTTTCATTGGCAGAGTTAATCCTACTATGACCTTTCAATATTCAAAATTGATTTATTTGTAGCTCCATCAGAAACTTAATATTTTATGCTAATGAGGCAAATATTGTAAAGAAGGATTCCCCTTTTGCTAAAGTGGCTAGAAACCAAATGAAAAAGTTACCTAAAATATTCGTGGTATTGTCGATAATGTTTTGACTGTAAATTTTTCCATTCTACCTTTACTCTTCTTCCTCGACCTTCAAAAAGACATGCCATCAAGGAACACATTTGCTCGCGAGGCCATTTTGGTTTGATGAAGTCACGGGGTGTGCACAACCCGCACAGTTTTGAAAAAAAGTCAACAGATACAGTGAAGATTTTTAAAAATCTTCACTGTATCTGTTAAAATAGCGGATAAAAGCGCTATCAAACGAGAACAATATAATCCTGCCCTTGGGCGACTTCCATTCAACCAAAACTTCCGAAAATTTCGAAACGGCGACAAATATTAAAAAAAAAATTTTCTGGGAGAGTTTCAAAAAATATACTCTAATTCGTGCGGCTGTGCCCGAATATTTGAATCTGATGTCGGCATTAAAAAGGTTGATCCGTTATTCGACAATTCCGGTATGACTGACGTAATGCTACGTACGTAAAGAAACAATTGGTTGGACAAAGGTATCGCCTATGTGTCTCTCCGGATAAAGTCAAAAGTGGTTCAACTTTTTCTGCACAAGTTAGCCACGCAATTTTTTCTGCACACAAAAAATTAAAGGCCAACTGAAATTCACGTTATCCACTTGGAATTCATTTCTTTTGAATCTGTTTATTTACACATTTGGCGAATATTTGTTTTCTTGAATGAGCCTTTTCGCCGATACGGCGGCCATTTTGAATTCTATTGCTTCAAATGACTATTATGGGATGAACAGGAGGCAAATTAGTATGTATTTGCTCCCTGAGCATCTCTTAATAGCTGTTTGGAACAGAATTCAAAACGGCTGCCGTATAGCCGGAAAGGTCCAGTGGTCAGCACTTGAATCAAGAATAAGATCAGGAATGGTAAAAGACCTCATGAAGCATTTTCTGTTTACCATTGTGGATATGTTTACATTCCAGGATCTGCTACTTTGTATGAAATCAAGAGGCTCTCCCAGGCATTTTTCAACAGATACTTGGTAAGTTTTTAAATGTTCAAATTCTTATAACTATTTTCTCTTTTGCAAGATAAAGTGGTTTCCAATTGAGTTTCGTGGAACCGAAATCAAAGTAACCACTCTGGCCAATCACGAAGGACGCAGGCAATCCAGTGAAACAATCAAAACTCGAAGTAATTACATGCAGCTAACGCAAAGCGCGGGAAAACAGGTGCGAACGATTTACGATTGGGTATGGATTAACTTCTGATTGGATAAAAATGTGGCGCGAGTTTTTTCAGCCAATCGTGAAGCGTAATTGATGCAAAACCAATTACTTTTCGACACTCAACTGAAAATCGCTCTAATGATCTAAACATGTTTTTCGAGATAACAGAGTTCTCTGCTCCATATATTTTGAGCACCAAGCTATGATCGTCGACAATGTATGTTATTATAAATACTCTGTAAATGCCCTTTCAATAATCCATTTTGCCCGGGGACTGGGACTAGTCGGAAGAGGATACGGGAGCCTTTAAATGCGCCCTTTAGTGCGTTAAAGATGGCATCCCTCCTGAATTGTGTAAACGACATGGAGTGGACGTGAACAAGACTGCGAAGAACACAAACATTATAGGAGAAGGGCCCACCGGAATTGCAAGTTGTCGAATTGCTTAATTAATAGTATAGATATGGCAAACTGTTTAGTCACGATTTTTTTTTCTACCGTCATAGTTTGACTTTTATCACCATAAAATGTAAAATAAAATTCTTCCATTCCCCTTGCCAACGCCTGCTCTTCAATTTCTTCACCTCGACCACAAGGCCGAAACATGCTCTCAAAAGTAGATAAACCTGTAAACTGTCTCCCTTTACGTATTGTCGTGTGGACAGCATAAACACATACATTTGACTGGCGTCCAATCAAGTAATCTACGTATGCTCATTGTCACTCTCGTAAGCCTTCTCGTTTAATAGATATTTGAGTTTTCATGATTTCTTTATTTGTTTTTGCGTGGGTAGAAGTTAACCATCGTCGTCCATCGTGTGCATGAAAGGTACAGTCTAGACACAGCTTCTTTCAAGAGACTGTAAGGTGTTTGAATTTTCAGCTTTAAGCAAAGGAAATAACATATATCTCCAAGCAGACTATCAAGTGGTAAAACGCTCACCTTCTAGGACAGGATTAGCCGACGTGGTCACGGCCATGATTTCCTACGTCACACTGGTAAAACAGTCAATTAGCTCTTTCGAATGATCACAAACACCTTAAACGAACCACTCATAAACATGTCAAGATTTAATTTTCGTTTTCGCAGCTCCGAGATAATACAAGTTTCTTTCACGAATATGAAATATCATATCATTTTGAAAACAATTCACACGCAATGCGCGATATTTTCTGTGTTTTTGTCTTATTTTTTGCCACTTTATAGACGGATTCGCATTGTCTTTTTTCTTAATGAAAAAAAGATTTTAATACAAAGAATTTGTTTAACAAAGATTACCAGACGGTATGCTCGCATATTGAAGTGAGTTAATCGAGAGCATCAATGCAGCGCGAGGCTTATTTAGGATTTTTCCCTTTGCATCCTCTTTACCATAACAATTTAAATATATTATTTTGAGAATGGCCAACACTTTCAAAGGTGGCAATATGTTACTGAAGGAAATGTTCCGAATAAATCAAATGTCGCGATTTTGGCAGGATTATAGTTCCCCGATTTGCATAACTTTCCCTAATTTCCCGATTATGCAAGACTGTGTTGCCGAAAATATGAGATAATAAACTTACACTAAAGCATAGAACCGCTATATTTGATTTTATTTACCATTATCTCGTAAATCGCTTTTCGTGCTATAAAATTTTTGTGATTTATTTGACCATCACCAATAAATTTCATGTCGGGAATATTTCTGTAATGAGGTACACAATTGGCCTTTCATGTTAAATGTACTTCATGGCTTCATTGTATTCCAGGAAGTTTATATAATGACAACGACGTCAAGACCTGCATTGATAACCAGAATATGATCATTTTCGGTTTTGAATTCAAACACTCATTTTCTGAAAAGTCGTAATAATAACAAACTAGATTATTTTGCCGTCCGAGATTATCACAACTTGAGGGGAATCAAGGCATCTTCCAAAAAAGGAAACCACTATTTGTCATTCTTCGACAATTTTCGTCTCGAAAAACAATATTCAATATTTTAATGCAAATTAGTTCTTATTTTGAAGATCACACGTTGTTGTCTTTGTTAAGCATCTTATCGTTCACATTGTGTTTTACTGAAAAAAAAGTGAAGTTTCAAACCGATGTTCTTTATGCTACTTGCAAATCAATTTGTGCCCTTTATTCTTGTGACAGTACAAGGTTACCTTCGTCATTATTTTGCATTTGACAGGCAATGGCGTTAGGGTTTGAAAGATAAAGGTAATTCTCAGTAATTTAAGAGCTACTTTACTAAGCAGGCATAATGCATTCTGTTCTTTTCCGGTGCGTAGGTAAATGACATACTGTTTCTTTTTCCTCTTTTCGTTTGACCTCTGCTTCGTTTGTTGCTTCATAAAAAACATCTACAGTAAGTTAAGATCTTTCATTTACTACGAACATAGTACCTACAGCATCGATTAGTGCATCGATCAGACGAAAATGGTAATCTTCTCTTAAACCTGACTTACAAGTTTGGTAAGTAGACCAATGTTTACTTTGACTATATATTTTTTTCACGTTACTTTGCAAGATTGTTTGTTTTTTCTTCTTATTACGATTTTCTCTCCTGATTTTCCGTTGTTTTTTGACTAACCGTGTGCTAAACCAAATGTGTGGTTTGGGGATTGACCGACGCCACCCATTTTCATTTAGTGAATGAATATTCGTGGCTTGCCAAGAGCCCGCAAGAATAGCCGCTTGAATTCTTTCTTGTGAAAGCTTTGAGACCTTTGCTAATCATGGTAACGTTTAAACATCATACAAATATAATCTAAGATCTTTGAAAACGGAAAAGGCGAACTATACATTGGGATTATGCGTCCAATAAGACACGGAAGATGTAGTAAAAAAATTGGTTTTTGAACTTTTGCGAAAAAACAAACAAATCGTGGACGAAAAAATTCCCCGATACAAAACGAAAATAAGTCATACGTACGAATTGTCGATTCATACGACTTGCTATCTCCAGCTGGTGTTACTTATTATGGCTCCTGATGAATACTTTAAATAGAAATGGTAATAATTTAATATATAAATGTGTTGACATTTTTAAGTACTGTAAAAGATATTATTACTTTCAGTCCAAGGAAATGCACTTTTTGCTGTCATAATGGAATAAAGACATTGTATCCTGTGAGATCTGTGTCATCTCCATTTATTTATTTTTAATTCGTTAAATCATCTTTGGCACGTAGGGATCTGTCGACAATTTTTAAAATGCAGGTGGAAGGCAACTACTCTGGTCAACTGTATGACATTTTTCTGATCACTTTTCTTGAAGACCACGTGCATAATTTTTTCAGTTTGAGACGTCGTCTCTTCAAGACCGCTCAAAAAATATGCTTTTGGCCCCTGGTGAAGATTGCTCAATCAGAGACATCAAGAAAGCGTTTACCTGATTAAATGTCAA